ACAGCCGCTATCGTGACTCGTTGGCTAACAACAGCCGCTATCGTGTCTCGTTGGCTAACAACAGCCGCTATCGTGTCAAGTTGGCTAACAACAGCCGCTATCGTGACTCGTTGGCTAACAACAGCCGCTATCGTGTCTCGTTGGCTAACAACAGCCGCTATCGTGACTCGTTGGCTAACAACAGCCGCTATCGTGTCTCGTTGGCTAACAACAGCCGCTATCGTGTCAAGTTGGCTAACAACAGCCGCTATCGTGTCAAGTTGGCTAACAACAGCCGCTATCGTGTCAAGTTGGCTAACAACAGCCGCTATCGTGTCAAGTTGGCTAACAACAGCCGCTATCGTGTCAAGTTGGCTAACAACAGCCGCTATCGTGTCAAGTTGGCTAACAACAGCCGCTATCGCGTCTCGTTGGCTAACAACAGCCGCTATCGTGTCTCGTTGGCTAACAACAGCCGCTATCGTGTCTCGTTGGCTAACAACAGCCGCTATCGTGTCTCGTTGGCTAACAACAGCCGCTATCGTGTCTCGTTGGCTAACAACAGCCGCTATCGTGTCTCGTTGGCTAACAACAGCCGCTATCGTGTCTCGTTGGCTAACAACAGCCGCTATCGTGTCTCGTTGGCTAACAACAGCCGCTATCGTGTCTCGTTGGCTAACAACAGCCGCTATCGTGTCTCGTTGGCTAACAACAGCCGCTATCGTGTCTCGTTGGCTAACAATAGCCGCTATCGTGTCTCGTTGGCTAACAATAGCCGCTATCGTGTCTCGTTGGCTAACAACAGCCGCTATCGTGTCTCGTGGCTAACAACAGCCGCTATCGTGTCTCGTTGGCTAACAACAGCCGCTATCGTGTCAAGTTGGCTAACAATAGCCGCTATCGTGACTCGTTGGCTAACAATAGCCGCTATCGTGTCAAGTTGGGCTAACAACAGCCGCTATCGTGTCAAGTTGGCTAGCAACAGCCGCTATCGTGTCAAGTTGGCTAACAATAGCCGCTATCGTGACTCGTTGGGCAACAATAGCCGCTATCGTGACTCGTTGGAAAACAACAACAGCCGCTATCGTGACTCGTTTTCCAACAACAGCTGCTATATATCGTGACCAGTCCAACACTGGCTATCGTGACCCAGGCCAACACCGGCTACCGTGACCCAGGCCAACACCGGCTATCGTGACCCAGGCCAACACCGGCTACCGTGACCCAGGCCAACACCGGCTATCGTGACCCAGGCCAACACCGGCTATCGTGACCCAGGCCAACACCGGCTATCGTGACCCAGGCCAACACCGGCTATCGTGACCCAGGCCAACACCAGCTATCGTGACCCAGGCCAACACCGGCTATCGTGACCCAGGCCAACACTGGCTATCGTGACCCAGGCCAACACCGGCTATCGTGACCCAGGCCAACACCGGCTATCGTGACCCAGGCCAATAATTTGGGGTCGGCGTGGACGACACAGATATTGTATCTTGACACCAGACAATTATTTAGAGGCGGTCCATCAGCCGGGCGTCTGAGGCTACAATATAATGTGGCCGCACCTTGGCCGCCCCCTGGCCGCACCCTGGCCGCACCCTGGCCGCCCCCTGGCCGCACCCTGGCCGCACCCTGGCCGCACCCTGGCCGCACCCTGGCCGCCCCCTGGCCGCACCCTGGCCGCACCCTGGCCGCACCCTGGCCGCACCCTGGCCGCCCCCTGGCCGCACCCTGGCCGCACCCTGGCCGCACCCTGGCCAACTGTGGCCTATACCTCCCCGCTCTCGCTCGTAAATCTCCCTACCACTATTTAAGTGTGAGGGAAGATATTGAGAGGTGAATGAGGGCCAGGGATGGAAGGAGGGAGAGAAAGAAAGAAGAGAGGGCGGGATGGAGACGGTTAGAGAGGAAAGGATTGCTCAGGACTTGAGAGGACAAGAATAATTGAGGAAGGATAGGCAGGATGGAAGGATGGTGAAAAATGAGGACGCGGCGGTTATGGGGATGATAGTGAGTGCCCGAGTGAGTAAATAAAACATTGTCGACCACGAAGGAACAAATGAAACTGGAAATTCCCGAAGTACTTTCGTATTGATCAATACGTCTTCAGAAGGATGGATATTACAAGTCAGCGGTTGTTCACAAACATAAGAGGAAACTGACCCATTGACCCATACAATGAGTTCCAGGAGTCAATAAAACTAATGATAAAATATTGAGGTATTAATGAGGTATTATTGAGATTACTGGGTATTAATGATCCTACGCAAATCGTTTTTTAATTGAACAATCAAAAATAGATCCAAAATTTACAAACCATTACTAATGTTCAAATTGTATGGTTTTGTGATTTGTATTAAAGCAGGTTCAATAATGTTTCTGTGGAAAATACTTTTACAATTTGTTATTAAAGAAGACTTCTCCCAACTGATATGGTGACAATTTTCAGACAAATGAACAAACAGAACATTAGACAAATGAACATTTCTAACAGAATTTCGCAGCATAAATGTAACATAACATTAATGGTAATAAAGCAATTGGAAATAAATATAAATTACGATAATCACCCTGTCTCTTAGTTAAATTGGCCTGGCATACTAATAGTGCAGTGCAGCTCTGGCAATTAGGTATAAATGGATAAATGGAGGGACAAATTTTTAAATAGATGGATGTATAGATATACTAACAGACAGACGAACATAAAGAGGATAGATGGACAGATAGCCGGGTAGTTAGATGGATAGCTAGAGGGGGAACAGAAAGATAGCTTGCTGGATATATATAGATGGATGAATGGATTGATAGAGGGATGGACTGATAAATAGATGTGCAGATCGATGGATAGATGGACAGATCTTTAGATGGAATGATAGATAAATGGATAGATAATGATAGATGGATGGACAGGTAGGAGACAGATAGACCCAGCCACCTTCGGGTGAACGCCTCTAGTGTACCATAGGAGAGAATGTCTGTCTGTTTACGTCTTACCCAAATTTGTAGGGGGAATGGTCTGGTGTACAAGACGAACATAGGCTGGTCGAGTCTAGGCCTAACTTAAATTATTTTAAAAATATTGCTAATTATTCACCCCCTCCCTCCCCCCCCCCACCCCCTTCCATTCGATTGTCTGGAATTACGTTCTGGTGAGGTGTGAAATACTGGTGGTCATTTAAAAGCAAAAACGGGCAATTATCTAATGATCGACTTGTTAATTTGTCAGAAAATTTTCACCAAATTGATTGGGAGAGTTCTTCTTCACTAACGAATTGCAAAAGCATTTTCAACACAAACATTATTGAACCTGTTTTAATGCAAATCACAAAGCAATTCAATGTGAACATTACCAATGGTTTGTATAATGTGGATCCATTTTCGTTTGATCAATTAACAAGCATTTTGAGTGAGATCATTAATACACAGTTCTCTCAATACCATTGAATTAATACCTCATAACTATCGCTTCAGAATTGTTTGTTTCCCCCCTGGAACTCATACGTATTGGTCTGTAGTTACCTCTTATGTTTGCAAACAAAGAGGTTGTTTTTCACCTCACCTCAATCCTGCCTATATATCCACCACCACTGATTTGTAATATCCATCCTTCTGAAGATGTATTGATCAATACGGAGGCTCTTCAGGAAATTTCCAGTTTAATTTCTTCCTTCGTGGTCTGACACTCTCACATTATTCATCACGTGTTAATTTCTTCGTGATTATATATATATATATATATATATATATATATATATATATATATATATATATATATATATATATATATATATATATATATAATTATGAAGAAATTAACACGTGATGAATAATGTGAGAGTGTCAGACCATACATATATATATTACATATATATGTATGTCAACAGCAGAAGCCAGACTCTAGCAACAGCAGCAGCAGCAGCAGCAGCAGCAGCGGGCCACAACTCAACAAACACCTGGTCACAAACTACACAGCTTCCTCGCCGTTGTTCATGTGAGTTGATCCATGTATTCATTCACGTTTAATTACATATTAATTCACTGCAACATTTGAGCTGTCCCTGCCATAACTACGCGCCCCCTTGAGCGCCCCCTTGAGTGCCCCCTTGAGCGCCGTCTGACAGCGCCCCTGACGTGGTCTCCCCTACAGCGTGGCGGGCCTCCAGGCGGGGCGGGAGTTCGCAGTGGTGTTGAGGGCCAGCAACGACCAGGGCCTCAGTCCTCCGGTCGTCCTCAGCGCCTTCACCCTCAACGACAACGCTCAGACGGTCATTAGTGAGTACCAGGACACCCCCTCACCCCATGTTGTTAGTACCGGGACCCCTGTTGTTAGACCCTAGGGCACTGGGTCATACTGGGTCTCAGACGTTGTGGCCCAAACTTGTTAGTGACCTCAAATTGCTAGTCATCTAAAGTTGCTTGTGGGGCTAAAGTTGTTAATGGCCTTCCGTAGTGTGTGGTCGTTCTTCGATACTGGTTTAAGGCCATAGTTATCTTAAGTTCTTAGCTTAACAGTTTAATTAACATATATTAAAGAGACGAATGTTCGCGAGTATTCAATATTTACGTGTCGGAGGAGTTTAAAAATCCCGTCTTGGTTTAAGGGTTTAATAAGCTAAAAGTTAAAGCATTAATTCATTAAAAAATAAAGTTCGGGGTTTAAGAAGAGTATAAAACATATTATTTTGCAAGTGTAAGGGATTATAGCACACGGGGTGGAGAGGTAGCGGGTGGAGAGGTTGAGGGTGGAGAGGTTGAGGGTGGAGAGGTTGAGGGTGGAGAGGTAGTGGGTGGAGAGGTTGAGGGTGGAGAGGTTGAGGGTGGAGAGGTTGAGGGTGGAGAGGTTGAGGGTGGAGAGGTTGAGGGTGGAGAGGTTGAGGGTGGAGAGGTAGTGGGTGGAGAGGTTGGAGAGGTTGAGGGTGGAGAGGTTGAGGGTGGAGAGGTTGAGGGTGGAGAGGTTGAGGGTGGAGAGGTTGTGGGTGGAGAGGTTGAGGGTGGAGAGGTTGAGGGTGGAGAGGTTG